TCGACATCAGCCACTGGAACAAAAGCAAGAAATACAACAAGACTTGCAGCTCTGGCAAACAGTTTATCTGTAAAGTAAATCTTCTTAAAATTCTTCTGAATGTTCTTTTCAACAGCTTGACAGAGGTGAAAGTAGCAATTGCTCACATCCCATCCTGGCAAACTCTTCATAAAAGCATTCATAACTGCTTTCTCGAAATCTACTAAAATGGTACCAGTGTCCACCGGACAATGCTGGTCAAAATAGTGCTTAATAACATCTAAAACAAATTCATAAGTGTCCCCTTTCTTGTCACCACTTAAAATATAAACTAAAGGCACAAATTTGTTGTCTACAACTGAGTGGATGGTGTAAGACTGAGGAAAGATCTTCGGTGATACATAGAAAGTGCCGTCTGCTATCCAGTCTGAGTGCTCCGACAGTGTCTTCATGTTCCTGCTCTGACTCCCCGATCTGTAGAACCATCAAAGAGGACAAAGGGTTCATCTCTTCTGGTTGAAGTACATGTAGGAGGGAGAGTAAAGTCTTCTGAGGTAGTAGCCTCCTGGTGTTGGGAGGATCCTGACGCTGCAGCTCTGGAACGTTGAATCACTCTGACCAAGGACATGATGTTAGGGAGAGTCTGGTTCACTGCAGTCGACGTCTCTACCAGGGCTTCTGATATGAGGTTCTGCGTCGCCGAAAGAGGTTGATCTTCAGCTTTCCTCTTCAGGGATGTTAGGACTTCTCTTCGTTCTGGGGCTGCGAGGTCTGCTTCGTGGTTGTGGGTTTTCGTACTCAATCTGAGAGAATCGTCTGAGAGGGATAGATAGCAGAGACACGCGGACACTTCGTAGGGAGTTTGTGCTTGCAGCACCGCCAGGAAGATGTGAGGGCTGAATCCTTGTTCTTCTTCCGACAGTAGATGAATCCATCAGAGTCAAGTAGCTGTTGAGATCCTGTCCGACCAGAGATGAATTTGGGGAAGGTAGGCATGTTGATAGAATGTAAGAATGCGATACTATTGTCTTTCATCTTTCAGTATATATATACCTAAGAACACTTGATCGGCTCACTCTCCTTGCATGCCTTTAGCACGTACGTCTCACATCCCTTGATACGAGAACCCCCTTTAGCAAGAGCTCCCGTCCCTTATGTGATCTACGAGTCGAGCAGTCAGATCATGTTTACTTCTTAATGTACAGCTATGATTTACAGAATTGACATGTGAACTCTACCCTATATCTAGCTCATTTCTGGGTCAATTAAATTCTACTGATGGATCACATCACTAATTATACGTCATATGATCTAACCCTAATAATGGAGGGCCCCCCTTTGTCGGCCTCCCGATCTAGATATATCAAACAACAAAGGGCAATGACTATTTTTAAAACGCATTTAAAAAAATCAATCTCTAGTGCCACCTTTTTTTTAACGTGTCTATATAGCTCTGGTTACTTAGTGTAACTGGTAACTACTTGTTGAAAGTTCCAGTATTTAGTAAGTATCGGTTAGTAACGGGTTAGTAACCCAAATATTTCAAATTATTGGACCACACAGCACACTGAGATACTGACTTACTACAGCTTGTTAATAACACTACACATCCTTATCAAACGATATTCCTCGTTAGACCACATTTAAACAACTACACGCATTTCATTCAATTTCTGTGGAAAACCGGTCCACTAATATTATCATGACGGTCATGAAAGGGTCGCCTTTATCGTTTCAGATTCACGCCAATTAAACTTATAAACTAGTAATAATAACGTACACTCTCACAGCTATTTGGTTTTGGTTTTGGTTTATAGAGCTACACGCCACATATGTCCAGGTTCATTATAATATATAATGTAGGACTTCTAGGCAATGTGCTTGGTTGTGAATCCTTGTTCTTCTTCCGACAGTAGATGAATCCATCAGAGTCAAGTAGCTGTTGAGATCCTGTCCGACCAGAGATGAATTTGGGGAAGGTAGGCATGTTGATAGAATGTAAGAATGCGATACTATTGTCTTTCATCTTTCAGTATATATATACCTAAGAACACTTGATCGGCTCACTCTCCTTGCATGCCTTTAGCACGTACGTCTCACATCCCTTGATACGAGAACCCCCTTTAGCAAGAGCTCCCGTCCCTTATGTGATCTACGAGTCGAGCAGTCAGATCATGTTTACTTCTTAATGTACAGCTATGATTTACAGAATTGACATGTGAACTCTACCCTATATCTAGCTCATTTCTGGGTCAATTAAATTCTACTGATGGATCACATCACTAATTATACGTCATATGATCTAACCCTTAATAATGGAGGGCCCCCCTTTGTCGGCCTCCCGATCTAGATATATCAAACAACAAAGGGCAATGACTATTTTTAAAACGCATTTAAAAAAATCAATCTCTAGTGCCACCTTTTTTTTTAACGTGTCTATATAGCTCTGGTTACTTAGTGTAACTGGTAACTACTTGTTGAAAGTTCCAGTATTTAGTAAGTATCGGTTAGTGACGGGTTAGTAACCCAAATATTTCAAATTATTGGACCACACAGCACACTGAGATACTGACTTACTACAGCTTGTTAATAACACTACACATCCTTATCAAACGATATTCCTCGTTAGACCACATTTAAACAACTACACGCATTTCATTCAATTTCTGTGGAAAACCGGTCCACTAATATTATCATGACGGTCATGAAAGGGTCGCCTTTATCGTTTCAGATTCACGCCAATTAAACTTATAAACTAGTAATAATAACGTACACTCTCACAGCTATTTGGTTTTGGTTTTGGTTTATAGAGCTACACGCCACATATGTCCAGGTTCATTATAATATATAATGTAGGACTTCTAGGCAATGTGCTTGGTTGTGGGACGCACTCAACTAGGGAAGTTGAGAGGCCTCAAATCAAGTCTCATTAAAGAGATATCAACAGAGTGTGAGCCACTGCCAGACTAACCTGTAGCTGTGATTAGAGTTTGCCAGGCTCTATGAGTGTGGCAGAGAGTGTCTTCTTTGTCCTATCCTTTGTTCGTGATGCTGATAACAGACTCTTGTTGTAGGTGGCATGGTGGTGACAAAAACTCATTTGCATGATTGGGTCTAGAGATGGGTCGATTGTTAACTGTGAAGTGTGCTATAAATAAGTGATAAAGATGCCACCAGTGGCAAAAGTAAGGGTAACAAAGATGTGGTTAAATAATTAAACGTACTGCTCAGTACCGTAATTATAAAACCAACTATACTTGTAAACTGTATTAAGGGCTGTGTTTTGTCGAGTGCTGCTTTGTAATGGACCCCACCCTCCATTATTGTTCTTTGTTAGCAGCAGCATTATTCTTGACAGTTGACTCATCATGTATCGAGATATTGGGTAATTTAAACAGTTAGTTTATATCTGTTCCCGCTATACAATACATCGCACTATATACATTGGCACGTGTCCAGTTCACGGCATTCTGATTGGCTGACGCGTCAAATCAAGCTCTGTGATTGGTCCACAGCCTGCATACATTGTACTAAGTGCAGGAAACCATCGGGCACGAGCTCCTTATTGGTCAATACACAATCACGTGACAAAATGAAGTCTTCTGATTGGTGGTGCTATTTTTAGCTGTCACATCCTGCTCCCAGCGTGCTTGCAGCGTGCTGCTCAGATGCTTGCGGAGTGTACATTCTACACACGTGTATTACACATTACAGTGCCCAACACGTACAGTACCAGGTTACCAGACCAAAGTTACAAAACTTGGAACTACACGAATATATTGCACCATATCCAGAAAGGCGGCAGATCGGCAGATATTCTGTGAGGAAATTTGGTGTCAAAAAGGAAATTCTTAGAAGACCTGATATTTTTTAGGGCATGAGAAATATTTTAGGGGGGGTGGGTATTTTGTTAAACCTGATGTAGACCGTATCTGAGTGTGTCCCAAGTACCACCAATAACTAATTAGCACGTTCTGTAAACACACTAATTGTATACAACAGTACATTACATTGGTGTCGTGTTACATGTACAGCAATAATATTACAAATATGTGGAGAATGTAGGATCATTCAGCGGCTTGGTCTAATGTAATGTTTCGTGTGTGGGTGTTGGTGAGGTCAGGAACGAGTTTAGAAAAACTCTCCATTTGTAAACACGAATTTGTTTGACAAATTCAGTGTTGCCTGTCTGATTGCACGTGTTAGGGGCGGTAATTAGTTACATGAGGTTAATGACACGTGACAGGTAATTACACTGTGTACAATGTACTGACTACACATAGTTTACATTCCACAGCAGTGGAGTTGTTGATGTAGCTCTACTAGGTACAATGTACCGAACTAGCTACAATGTACCGAACTAGCTACTTACTTTAGACTTCGCTTCTATGTATAAGTTGAGTTATGACGTGATACAATATTAAAAGCGAACAAACAGTAATGAACTGCGTTTTATTCCATCTTTATGTTAAAATAACCTAGTTTCATTTAAATACAATGTTACTGTTCCCATAATACATTAAAGTTAAAAAGGTAAATATCACACTGAATGTTATCACCACTGTAATGCTATCGTATACGTTTCCCAGTGCATGTGCCAGGAGATGCAGATATAACCATGACTCATGAGTGACCACACATTTAAATTAGACTTCTGGCAACTCTACAAAACTGAAAATGTTTCCGTGCCGTATTTAAGAGACAGTGAAACTAGCAAGCTGCGATGAATGGGGACTCGCCACCCCATGGTAACATTAAATATATTGGTTCGGTTAAATCGCTTTTTCAAATTATTTTTTGTACAGTAGTGTTGAAAGTATTATAAGTAATAGTGTTACGCGCGTAGTTATGGAGTGAAATACATAGTAAGTAAGTAATAATAATCACGTACAGTAAAACTACTTTTTCTAAAACAGTTTTTTATACGGCTTTTAGTGGGTGTGGGCAGTGTAAGAAAAAACATTCCGATCCTACTCTACGGTACATGTTAGTGGTTATGACAAATATGCTAATAATTTCAGTAGACACGCCCCAAGCAATGGACACCAGCACCAGCCCGCCCTCCGACCAGTTATACTTAGAGGACGAGTACGCGTCACGTGAGGCTCGAGAGAACAACACGCGTAGTACCCGGAGTGGGGGGGACAGAGCGGACACTGTTTCTGAGATGTCTGATGAGAGTGATTCTATCGGCACCTTCAGGTAATTAATTAATTAATTGATAAGGTGAGAGCTATTGTCAGCCAGAGTGATTGATATGTCTCTTTATTTTTCCTTGTTGTCACTCTCTGATGTGATCGTGTTATAACGTATAATTTTTATTTTTACTGATCTTCAAAGTTTAAAATAATAGGTTTCCTAGATAGTTTTATTGATGGCCGTAATTTTATTTAATCAACCTAACACTGTCCGTAATTGCAGTCTAAGTGGATTTATCAGCCTTCAATTAAAATTATACACTTACACATAACACAATGTAGAGCATATTAAGCAGCCAATTACATTAATTAGTGCATTATATTAATCAGTTAATGAGGTAATTAACTATAATTAATTTCAGTAACAGTGACGGAGGTGAAACAGTCGTCAGCCCGGACAAGGAGTTGTGACAGAAGAGACATTTTAATACCCCTCCTTTTCCCTTCCACCCAGAAAACAGTTCCTCTCCAAATTACAAAAGTAGTTGCTGACTAGTAGTGACTTTGAACCAAGTCTGCAAAAATTGTTTTACCAAAATTTAGGACAAAAGCATGAAACATTTTGTTAGTTAACATCTAATTGTACAGTGTAACGTCTAACGTTAGATCAGATTATCGTAAAGAAAGAAATCTAGCAAAAAAATAAGTCCCAAACGCGATACTCAATATTGTTCTAGTAGTACATATGATATAAATCTGGTCTGGTGTTCGACGTTTCACTGTAAAATCTTTTGGTCGAACCTGAAAACAACATTCCGGACCCCTAACATTGAATCCTCTTTTGCTTTAGATCTTAAAGTTCATACTCGATTCTATTATAGTAAAAGTTAGACTGCAGCCGGCTGCATGCCCTTAATGCCATTTGTTACTGCTCTTGAAATTGTAACGTTTTATAACCACTATGTGGGTAAGTTTCTCAGTAGAATAAACTAGGTTTCTATTTGCTGTTTTTTTATTCTACCAGGTTACATTATGATACGGTTCGCAATTTGTCTTTTTCTGATTACCACAGGTCTAGGTCTTTTATGCCAATATCTATCTCCGATTCGAATAAGTTAATTCTACTAACATCTATGTAGTATGGTTATTTTGCGTTCGAATACAGTGTAATCTTAACGATGTTTTTGGAAATATGACGGAGTGTTGCTTTTTATCAATACAAACAAATTTGTGTGAATCTAGTTCTGTTTACATTTTCCACTCAATTCTCCCTTTCAGTTTTGACTGGAAATTGAGTATTGACATTTCGGTTCTATGGTATTCAAATATTTTGTCTTTTGAAGGAACCTAATATTCTTTATCCTGGATTTATACCCTTTCCCTATTTGATTCAAATTTTGTATTTCACCTTATCGATTAGAATTTGGGCTGATTTTGATTTTGATGTTTTTTGTTTTTTTTTGATGAATTAGGAAATGGCAATAAGTTTTTTTTTTTCTGTGCAAATTTTGCATATGATATTGCACGATATGAAGAAGTGGCCGGAGGGCGTTTCGTGATACGCATATTTTTCCGATAACTCAACGTCTCAGTTCGGAAAATCACTTTATTCTGTTTTTAAATGAGAAGAAAGAGTGATGATAAGATTAAGTCCTTCTGTCGACGTCGGGAAGAGCTGGAAATGTAAAATTTACCACCGATTACATCTTTTCTTAAGCTGTGACATTTTCCAGTCAACCAAGATACTGTATGTACATATTTATTCTGCAAGTATGCTGTTTATTTATTGTACATATAAGAATTTGAAGAATTTCGTGTTCATGAATGCTTCGTTACTGTTCTAGAACCTTGCGGCAGTTGCCACGCGAGACAAAACACGTGGGTTCCATGTTTTAAAGCACATTTTTGCTGCTCAAGACCCATAAAGAAAGTGTTGCTTTCAGCATTTAAGAGCGTAATTTGCGCGCTAAATAAGCGCGCTTTTTGAAATCCGCGTGCGCTGCATGCGTGCGTGTAGCGCACGCCGCTTTGCTGTTTGTGCTTTTGGCTTTCAAGAATAAAAAATAAATTATTGACCAGTAGTTCATATAATAGTTACGTATTATATTTAATGACTGTCAGATCATAAAGATGTAACTAGGACTGGTCCGAGCACATAGCAAATCGGAATTTGAGAATCGCTGTGATGGAACCGGACCATGAGTTCAGTCGATCGTGAGTTAACTATTGACTTTGGACTTGCAATTGCACCTTGATGTCTCAGTTATAAGTGAATATCTAGCAGTAGTGCAATGTTTAACGGGTGATACTCGTAAAATATTTGTTCCAAAAATTATACCGTCGACAATCCCCTTAATTTGCGTTTCTCACTATTTATGGTGCGGGGTTCTGAATTTTAAATGCCCTAGAATAAATAAAATTGTGAATTAAGTGATTCTTCGACTGTCGACACATTTTGTGGCTCCAAGCAGCCAAGCTCAGCTCAAGATTATTTTCAATTTTTATTATTTGATAACCAAAGTCGTGAACTCGTGAAATACCTTTTGTAAAATACGGTTTTAAAAACTAAATCGGATTAATTTAATACATTATATTATATTACACATTAGTTAGTGCAATAAGTGCCAAGCGCGAGCACAGAACGTTTTTCTCCGATTTCGATAAATTTGGTACCAAAGGTTGTCTAAATGTTAAAAATGTGATCATAAAATAAATCCGCGCCGTGTAGCAATTTTCGCTAAAAATGCTACACGGCGCTTGGATTAAACAGGATTAAACAGGATTAAACATGAAATTACCAGAGAGAACACTAACGGACTCGTCTTGGCTATACAAGAATGAATAAATGAATAAATGAATAAATGAATAAATAAAATTATCAAAACTGAATCATTTAAAAATAGTAAAATTTAACCGTTTACAATTTCACGAAAATAAAAGAAAATCGTCTATAATAATTTAAGGTAATACAGTAAATAAAGTTCGAGTACTACATCTGTTTGCGAGGGTTAAGGGACGTTTTAGGAGGATTACGTAGATTTGAGGAGTCTGTAAGGTACTTCCCGAACTCTTTTATATGGGGTGAGTTCATTATTGCTCCATATTCTTTTAGCATCAACAGGCTTTTGAGGTTGTCAGAGAGGTTGGACCTGAGTTGATGGTAGTAGGGGCACTCAGTTAGGACGTGGTCTTCGGTTTCTAGAATAGGAGTTTCAAAGAAGGGGAGCTCCTCTAAAAAACGTATGACATCCGTTTCTGAGGAGCAGCAGAAGCGACACGTTTTAAGAGCTGTGTTGAGTTGATCTTTGGTGTAGCGACCTTTTTCTATCCTAAGATCGTGACTGCTAGATCGGAGTTTGCTGCGCCATGCGCGTGCTTTTGCGCGCAATTTTTTCCTTTTCACCCTTTTGAAAAAAGGCAATAGTGAAAGGTTACAAATGGAGGTTTTTGCAGAAAAACGTAGATTTTGGAGAACGAGATAGGTGGGTTTAAATATGTCGTGTGTCCTTCCTTCCTTCCTTCCGTTCGTTACCATGCAACGAAAAAGTTACTGGACCGCGCTCAGCCTGTCATTCCGCCAAATCTTTATTCGGGTCCTCAGGTAACGAAAAAGTTGGGCGCGCGCGAGGATTGCTTGCGGAGATGTGATGTATAGATAGCCTGTGATCTATGAATGCGCGGCGCGACTGTGTTTTAATGTATATGATGCATGTAATGTATAATATTACTATTAGGTAATACGCCCAATTTTTACGTGGCACGCGTAGTGTATTGATGTGTACACGAGTATAGTTTAAATTTGCTGATAATTTCTTGAATTACAGATACAAGTTAAGTTCTACGGCAATTGAACTGAATTTCAAGTGTTTCCCGTATTTGATGCATAATTTATCAATATTATTATCATGAAGATTGAAGTGAGCTGATTGGAGCTTATACTTAAATTTATAGTAAATGTGAAATGGAAATCTAGCGTCCGCCAAAACGAAACAACGGGCGCAATTCTTGTTAAGTTTTTGATACATGTTTCGTATCCCAATATCAGTTTGTTTTTGGTCTATGACTTTCATGTCTCACATTTTCAGTTATTATCACTTCATTATTATGATATCGTAATCAGGAGGACTAATCGAGTTGGAGGACTTCGACGCGCCGCGCGAACTAGCATTCTTGCTTCGCATCGTCGATCGTCAATGGGTTGACATCGTCAATCAACTCATCGAGACCAGAAACGAAACTTTTGCTATAACTAATATTTTAAAATTTAAAGGAAAATTATTTTTAAATTTGTTAATGTGAACACAAGGGTCCCCCCTTGCGTGAAATTTTGAACAAATATTTTAGGAGTTATTGGCATTTTAAGTAATAAATTAGCCATTTTTCGTCCTTTGTACACTCTTGCTTGCTTGCTACACGTTGCACATTACCTGGGGACCTCAGGCTATTATGTTCATAAACATAACGAATAGAGATTAGGCGGAATGACAGGCTGAGCGCGGCCCAGTAAGTTGCACACCTCTCGTGCACGCGGCGCGCGCGATCAAAAGGGGTTTCAGCGTGTGTCAAACTTTTGCAATGAACAGAAGTACAGCTCGACGTTATCTATACGTTGTATCCCGTTGCGACCCCCACGGTCGTTTCACTATGGTGGGTTTCAAGTAATTTGCGAGCCGCGCGAGAAATCTCAGGTGCAACTGTACGAGAAGAACTAGCGTGCGCGAAACGATCATTTCAGTGCACTGTGAAGTCACATTTAGAAAGTTCCATACTATTTGATGTTATGTGTTAACTTTTTTGATGGTGTGATCGCTATGTTGACAAAAAGCTTATCTCTGGGCTCTGGCTTTTTAAATTTTTTGACGATACAGGGGGATAGAGTGGCGGGTTTTTTTTTCGATTTTGTTGAGGAAAATACTGTTGTAATGCTTATTTAATAAAAATAAGGATGGTTGAAGTTTTACCGAAAATGGACTTGACCCATCAACGAAAATCGCTAATAAAAAACTAACAAATTACAACAATCCAGTGTGTTAGGGAGCCGCTCAAACTGTTTACTAATTGATCTTCCAAGCCTAAGGGGCGCCCTGTTGTTCCCGTGATCATGTATGCAAAAATGTACGACCGAGGTCATCACTAATGAAGCCCCAAACAGAACTGCGGGCCTAATTGCCTGTTACGATTTAATGAGGTTACACCACTTTCGAGCAGCTTATGTTTTGAGATAAATGTGATCGGTTTACTATATGTTATATTATACTCTACACATTTAAAGTTTAAACATCTGGTCAGCCCTTAACCTGTTAGAATTATGTGGAGATATATCAAATGCAGAATGCCAAAAGGTTTACGACGAGAAAGATTGTACAACTATGATACACTGTTGGTAAAGAGAAACGTAAATTAAATTAATGCTTATCATGCAAACAAGTGAAAACGACACTTATATGTCATGTATCCATATTCCATAAAGAAAATATAAAGCTGATAATATATTATCTAGTCAAACCGTCAACAATAAACGATAACGCTATCCGCGCAAAATATAAATGTTCGATAATTTGTCGCCATCCAGCGCTAGTTGTTCGCTATCCAGCGCTAGTTGTCGCCATCCAGCGCTAGTGTCGAATCCAGCGCTAGTTGTCGCTGGGCATCGTCACTGTCGCACTCGATAGTTTGTGATGGCCATCGCAACTGGACCATCGCAGAAAACAGTTCGATAACTAGTGCTGGATAGCGACAACTATCGCTGGATAGCGAAACTAGCGCTTGATAAAGCGACAACTACGCTGTATATGACAACTAAATCGCTGGATAGCGACAACTAGCGTGATGGCGACATTAGCGCGGGCCAGCGCTAGGGTGTCGCTATTAATATCCAAGCGCTAAATATAAATTGTATTGATAAATTTTCGATAATTGTCGCGACAACTAGCGCTGATATAATAGCCGACAACTAGCGCTGGCCAGCGCTTGGGCCAGCGCTAAGCGATAGCATCGATGGCCAGCGCAAAATGGCAGCGATATTAGTATTACCTTCAGCGAGCGCTGGCCAGCGCAATGTATCGAAATCATATACTTGCGATATTATTCGTCAGCAAAGCGCTGCCAAGCGCAATATAGTTGCGATATTACTCGTCACTAATTAGCTGTCAGAGTCAATTGCAATGCTATTAATGGACCAGCTATAATAAATCGAAACTACGCTGGTAAGGTATAGTGCTGACTGGCGCAATCTACCCAATTCCAAAATCAAATCTATATATTTACGATATTATTATATAATATTAATCGTCAGCTGACGCTTACCAGCGCAATATGTTGCGATTCATTATCACATGATCGCTTTAACGGGTGAAACCCATAAATTGAAATTATTCGTTTCAAATCCTTAATTCCACTCTGTGTGCGTCTTGGTACTCCATGGTAAATATAAACCTACAATCGTCACTAGCGTTGCTGACGAGTATTGAGTAATAGCGGCAAATATGATTTTTTATATTTTGCCGCTGTTTAGCGCTGACTAGCGCAGGCTCAGGCTTAGCTTCGCTGGCAGCGCTAGTTGTCGCTATCCAGCGCTGTTATCCGTATCGAACTAGTTTTTCTGCGATGGCCAGTTGCCGCTGGCCCTCACCAACTATCGGGTGCGACAGTGGTCGAATAAGCCAGCGACAACTAGCTGCTGGATAGCGACAACTAAGCGCTGGATCACTGATGGCGCCAACTAGGCGATAGCGACGCGACAATTATCGAACATTTCTATTTTGCGCTGGATAGCGTTATCCAGCGCTGATCTCTGGATAGCGACAACTAGCGCTGATAGCGCTAGTTGTCGCCATCCAGCCTAGTTGTCGCGTTATGTTGACTATCGGCAACGCAAAAGAACCAATAAATTTTTTTGGAAACAATTAAAAATCTTTTATGACTGTTAAATAATCAATTATCACATACTTTGAAATAAATTTAAAAATGACAAACTTCTTTCTTACATTTCTACATCAAACTAAGGTGTGTACTTTTAGATGCATTGATATTACCGAAATTACGTGATATAACAAGTTGCATGCTACAATATTCATAATACAAATAATATATATAATAATTTTCATATTATGTTATTGCAATATCAATTGATAGTATTAAAAAACAATTTCAGTGCTCCAAAATGCGGGAACGTAAATTTTGAGAAGAATACAATAATAATTGAATTTGAAGATAGAAAATAAAAGTTATAAAATCGTAGTTCTTTAATTGCTAGTTCCGTTACCATACAAAATCATTTTATGAGTAAACTCGGCCACTTAGATTCTTCTGGCCGCTGCAGTCTGGCAGCATAATGGCCAGTTGATATCTTCCGACCGTATCTCTTCGTTGAACCAGTGACAAAGAGCGACCGAGTGTCCACTGACTGGTGTGACAGGGAATAACAACAACTTAGAGGAGAATTATAATAATCATCCAACTCCACAGAGCATAGTTTTGTCTGATTAAAAAGGAGGGGTAGTGATCGCTCCCAGGATCCCAGCTTGGTCTTAAACATAAGCCGTCTCGGGGGTTTCTCATTGATACGCTTTTCGGTCAGCATGACGCAAGGTAGGAACCGTCCTTGAAATCGATGGTTCCTCTGGTTTTTTTGACACCTGAGTGGAAAATTTTGAAAAGCTTGTAAGTTATATTCTATCTGTCCGGTATACGAGCCATATTAAGAGCACATGACAGTTTCCATAACCTTATCGTATGAGTTTGACTTATCAGAGAACGTGTATTAATTAGACCCGCCGCTAGAAATCTAATTATAAATCTGAATTCACCTTGCTAACTTGGAGTTAGAAATTTTTGGACAGTAAAATCATAAATTGTATTTATTACTGTTAAACTCAATATAACCGACAAAATTTACCTGGTAAACCGACACAAACATATCGATAAAGCTTTTGCAATCAAAGTTAATCTGAGTGAGATGTACTGTCTAAACTTTTTGGGTAGTCGAGATACCCAGATTCAGTTTCGTGTAGCGTCGTAGGCCTTCTGAAAGCACGGATATACGTCCACGATAGAGATACCCCCCTGACGCATCACTCCTTTCTCATCCGCTGAAGAAACCGAACGTTAAAACGATGTAGTTATATCATATAGCTTAAAGTTAAAGCATCTATAACAAGTAAACACAAAATAAGCACGTCTAGCAAAATATCGCAATGTAGTACAGAAAGGGTCAGATAAATTTATACTCATTACTGGCCTATCAAACTAACCTAGCATCGCCAAGATGACCCTCAAGGATGGGCCAAGAAAGCGTTTTTGCTTAATCGATTAAATCCGATTTCTTCTCACTCCGGTTGACAGTTCCTCCCTTGCAACCTTATTTCGTTCAACTAAATGCACGGCTGCATCTGTCAACATGGCTTTAGCTTTATCAATGCAAATACCTGAACGCATAGTATTAATAAACTAATGATAACAAAATTACCTTGCAAGATTTGAGAAGGGATTCTCTATTACTGGATATCTGTTTCTGCTGGTAGCTCTTCACAACATTTACAGGGTATATCAGAGTACTATTTGCACCACCTGAATTTACTCATTAAATCAAATTGTTCAGCAATGTAATGTGATCGTTATGATCGATTATAAATAAAAGAATACTGTGCAACATTGAACTAACAATACTTATTCTTTAGTTGAAAGTTGAAATGCAATGATACTGTTTCATTAAGGTTATAGCATGAGCAATAGATTGAAATCTAAAATTGAAATGTTTTCTATACCTAAACAAGCACCACAAACAAAGTTTAACGCAAATTGCCCCTGCCGGGTCTGTGAAGAGGGCAGCGCATTACGCAGAGGGTTCCGACAAACAAAGAAAAGACAGTTTGTGGAGCAGTTTCTGATGAGAATTGCACTGAAACCTCTGTACCACTGCTGGATTGATCTCAGGTGGTGCCTGTGAGATTTATTTTAAGAAGGATCAGTCGATAAAATCCAGTGATTTAAAAATTAAATTAATATGGAAGTACAATTAATTAAAGACAACATCACATCTTCAGTTAGTTCTAATCAGTAATCACCTGAGATCCAATGTATTTTTAATTTTCCCATGGAATGCAGGAGTCTGCAGTAAACTTTGACCACGTTCAAAGGGGGTGGCAACAAGAGCTTCACTTATGCCAGTTAGTGTTGCTGCAACTACAGTTCTACTTGTGTTGTCTGCAATCACATTTGTTGGAAGGCCCTGGTAAACATTCATTGTTATAAAAAGCATTTCAATTCAATTATAAATTTGAATAATTAAGATTTCCTTCACAATAATGAGTTTTTCACTTAAAACCCGAAATTTTGATTTGCCTGGAGAATTTGGTAACAGGAGTTAAATTTTGGTTATCCTCAAGTTCTATAAGTTACCTTATAGAACGTCTCGAATAATCCATACATTAACCCCACTTGAACAGACTTTTGACAAAGCGGGAGAGCCATTCCACGATAAAGCATAAGTAATCCTTCTTTGTGAACCTGAAAATTAAATTTACAAAATTGAGGAAGTGCCTAGCTGTCTAGATCAGTCTTAGGTTTAAAATGTTGTTTGCACATAACATAGGAAATGAATCATATATTACATATTCGACTAAATTATTAACAATTAGCCAGTGGTCGACCGGGATCGAAATTTAGTCCCGGCCGGGACCGGGCCGGGATGACCTTCATCCCGGCCGGGACCGGGACCGGGATCGAAATGAAAACCCGGCCGGGACCGGGATTAGCCTCATCCCGGCCGGGACCGGGATTTTTCCAATATTTCTCAATCTCAGTTAAAATGAAACAGTGTTATATGTTAAATAAAATCTTCCAGAACAAACTGAGGTATGTCAAGTTAAAATTGACAGTAAGTAGTACAGGGTGGCCCATAAGTGACTACCCACACGCAACCTCTTAATAACTCACGTAATTCGTCTCCAAATTGCACCAAAATTTCAGAGATTATAGATATGGGTCAAACTTAGATTTCCTGAAAGTTTCGTAAGCCACGCCCAATTACAGTGGGCGTGGCGAGACACTCCCTCTTTTTCACTATTGTCTTCATAAAATGAGAACGCTTTAAGCTAAGAACTCAAAATTTTTTGCACACATTTGGCTTGATAATTGAAAACCTTTCCCAAAGTTTCAAGTTCATTGGTTAAAATATGGCTAAGTTATGACCATTTCAAAATTCATCGGATACGTGATCCGAGCACTCAGTCAGTGATCTCGTCACTTGGTTAATGGCCTGTTTGGCTCACATGCACCGCTTGATTGGTTGCAGCCTGCTTATGGGCCGGCCTATACAGCTGACAGCACCTAAAACGCTATCACACGAATTTATGGTGGTGTCACCATTTCAGGGCTTGTTAGCCCTGCTAGTCACAGGTTCAAATTATTGAATTGTTTTTGTGTGGGAATTTTTATTAGTTGATTTCATTTATTGATTTATCCTAAAAATTTGTGTTTTCCTTTCTAGCAAAGTCATCATCGGTATCCAATCAAAGCCTAATGAACCTCATTAATACACGCTAACGCCTTACTCTTGATCAGATTGGGTGACGAGATCACTAATTGAGTGCAAATATCACTGACTGAGTGCTCGGATCACATATCCGATGGATTTTAAAATGGTCATAACTCAGCCATATTTTAACCAATGAACTTGAAACTTTTGGAAAAGTTTTCAATTATCAAGCCAAATGTGTGCAAAAAATTTTGAGTTCTTAGCTTAAAGCGTTCTCATTTTATGAAGACAATAGTGAAAAAGAGGGAGTGTCACGCCACGCCCACTGTAATTGGGCGTGGCTTACGAAACTTTCAGGAAATCTAAGTTTGACCCATATATATAATCTCTGAAATTTTGGTGCAATTTGGAGACGAATTACGTGAGTTATTAAGAGGTTGCGTGTGGGTAGTCACTTATGGGCCACCCTGTAGTAACTACTCTATCTCTCTCTAATCGCTATCTCTCTCTATCTTTCTCTATCTCTCTCTCTCTATCTCTCTCTATCTCTCTCTCTCTATCTCTCTCTCTATCTCTCTCTTTATATCTGAGATAGAGAGCGCGAAATGAATGTGGACATAGTTATTTCATCAGATGAAGAAGCTGATGAGGGCGAGGCCCCTGACTCTTGAGTATTTCTAAGTTTGTTCGGACTTCAGCTTTCTTCTAACATTTTGTAATTTGTTACTCATGAAGTGAACAGTTGAACATATAATTAATTTTGAACATTAGTAAATTTTGTTTGACTTGAAATTTGCCAACTACCATTGATCAAAATTCATAGAATTTTGATCATGTAACATAAACATTTCACATAAGACTTGAAAGTTGAATTTTCAATTAACTTTTGGCGACGAGAAAGTGAAATGATCTAACTATTAAGAAGCACTGTAGAGCACTGTTGTAGTAAAACTTTTCGGAAAATGTTCACAGGTTCGTGAAATTTGGGCTCAAATATACGCTCAAAAACCGACTTTATTTTGGAAAAATCCCGGCTAAAATCCCGGCTAAAAACAAAATCCCGGCCGGGACCGGGACCGGGACAAAATCGCCAAATCCCGGCCGGGATCCCGGCTGCGCCGGGATCCCGGTCGAGCTCTGCAATTAGCACAGAATGGGACAGATTTGGAAGTAGAGCTACAATTTTACAACTAGATACCTCTTTGACAGCTGCAGTAAATCTGGAACTATTGATTTGTTGCCTGAAGATGACTTTATTGATAGGAAATGTTGCAGCCACATTCACCACACCAGCAAGTAACCCAGATGTATAGTTTGGCCATAGTTGACAAGTATCAGCCGATTGGCTCCGACTTGCCATTTTCATGTGTTAAGCATAGGATGTTTCAAGACTGGTCTGTGCAGTGTGCATAGTCCACTAGCCTATAAATTGATAAAGTGATTAAGGGGGCAGGGGGGGTCTTCATGGAAATTTTCTCAAAATCGACTTTTTAGTTGTTTCTGATAGAGGGGAGTGATATCTATCAGATGCTTTTGATCCGATAGAAAAATATTGTTCCTAGCCGAAATTATCGCCGGTAAAAGGTCAGCGGTTGTGTGTAATTGTATTGCGCAAGCGATTTTTGATCGCGTGCCCTGAAAATCGAGTCTAAAAATCTATCTTCTCCTACGTTTTTTGAGCAATCACCCTCAAACTTTCAGAATATGTTCTAAGGATCATTTAGAAGAGATTGTCGAGGCAAACTTTTGAGATAGGCCTTAGAACATTTTTTATTCGATTTTTAAAATCTTGAACCTCGAAAAATCGTCAAAAAACCAGGTCCAAGATTTTTTTAAAGAGCATATTATGACCTACTTGAAGGGAACAGTTAATAATTAGTTGGTTTGTTTTGGCTATCTTAGATTTGATAATAATAATATAAAGTAACCAAGAGATAACACTAGTTAGAACCTTTTACAACATACAACCTGCAACTCAGAAAATAAAATCCCAGTCCTTTGAATAACGGCTACATCGGCAGAATTAGCTGTAGGGTGTCGTAGTGTAAGTATAATATTTTTTGAGTTACGAAAAGACCAGAGATAACCTTCACATATTACGTTATAAGCCGAAGGGGAGGGGGTTTTCAAATGATTGTAATTGTGACACAATAGCTATATGTAATTTAGTGCTTGCGGAAATGTAAACAGTGTCTACCACGCCCTTGATTGTAAACTAGGTGGATACGTTTCCATGCGCCACAATGCCATAAGAGACATTGCTGCTTTCTACCTACAAGAAGCAAAGTGTAAAGACGTATGGATAGAACCAGCACTCTTGACAGTCCAACCAAGCTCATTCTCGAGGAAGATCAACACCCAGGATGAAGTCCGTCTTGATGTTGCAGCTGTCGGATTGTATGCACCCTTTGAAAGAACATTCTTTGACATCAGGGTCACACATCCTTACTGTGACACAAATACATTTAAGCCACTAGATAAGATCTATAGAGATCATGAGAAAGAAAGGAAAGATTTGTATGAAGAGAGAGTACTTCAGTCAGAGAAAGGATCATTTGTCCCTCTAGTCTTCACAACCTCCGGAGGTATGGGACCGCTCTTCACTGTATTTGTGGATCGTGTCTCTGGGATGATAACTGACCACAAAAAAGAAGCCAAGAGCCAAGTCAAAAATCATATCAGAACACGATTCAGATTTGATCTGTTAAGAAGTACACTCATTGCACTGAGGGGAATCAGAGGAAAATCGACAGCCCAGCATCTTGAACTACAAGACGTTTCCTTCAACCTCATTCCCCAGAAGACGAGCTTTGAGGTCTCCTAGATTTGCTTATGTCAATTTTGTAGAAATGATCCCAGGGGGGACTCCCAACCTACCGCTTCGGCGGGTAGTTGATGCAACGTTCACAAGCAAGAGTCACTTTGGTCTACTTTCTGTGAGGTGACTCAGCTACATGGGTTGCGGTCCCCACTTTTTTCTCTTTTAAAATAGCTATATGTAAAGCTGATTACGGAGAGGGGGGGGCAAAAATGTTTCAAAAAGCGATTACTTGATATGTGAACGACTCCATATTACATCTGCAAGGAGATAACCTGCAAAATAGAAAACTGCTTAACAAATTTTCTAAGATCTGTGTTTAAGTGAGAAAATTTTTGGGTAGCGCTCGATTCTAAAACATTCTTAGAGATTGGATATGCGCGGCCCTATTTATCATTCAAAAACGATAGAATATTGTTAATTGTGCAATTATAGCCTGTTTACTATTTCACTTCACTTATTAATTTGAAATTCAAAACCAGAAGTAAAGTAAAGTAAAGTAAAGTAAAGTAAAATTTATGACATCACATTAGTGTGTAGTCAGTGTAGCTTACGTTGCAATTATCGAGCTCTCTTATCTTTTGTAAATTGCGATAAGTTCAGTTTGCTGCTACCGCGTAGTTAGCCTTTGCGTGTGTACTTGTACATTCCTATACAAGTACATTATGGAGGATGATCGTAAGGTGACCCAATCTCTGGACCAAATTCAAGGATTCGAGTATGATGAACAGACAAAATTGAAGGACAGTGTTACTAAGTGGTTCATTACGCTGGGAAAAGAACTGAAAATCGACGACAGAGATATTTGTGGAGATATGGAGAGAGAAATATTTATGGCTCCAACTGTCTATAAAAAGCATCTGGCACTTCGGCTTGTGGAAGCAATAGACCTCGTTCAACGGCATGAATGCCAGATGGGTAAAATGGAGGAGATCATATATTTCTTGAAGACGGAAGCGTTAGAAGACAAGGATAAGTTGATCAGGCTGCAGGGCCAGCTGCTTGTGCAGAAGGACAAAGAACTAGAGTTGTTTAAGACGTCGGTTAAGAAGACAGTGCAAACAACGGTGGAGTCAGGGATTAAGAGCTACAGTGCAACTGTACAACAGAACAGTGCAAGTGGTACGGTCTGCAACAGTAACATCCTGAAGAAGATGATGAAGAGTGTGGCTGCAGAGGAGGACAGGAGCAAGAACCTGATCGTGTTTGGGTTGAAAGAAGAAGAGGGAGAACAGCTTCCAGCGCTAGTAACCGCAGTTCTGGGGGAGATTGGGGAGAAACCTCACTTCGAAGCGACTAGAGTCGGCAGGAAGAGGCCAGGTAGTACGACTATCCGACCAGTAAAGATCACTGTCCCAAGCTCTACAGCGGTTCAACAGATTCTGACGAAAACAGGAAGACTGAGGCTAGTTGAGACCCACAAAAGTGTATGGATCTGTCCAGATAGATCTAGCGAAGAACGAGCAACGAGGAAACATCTGGTTACCGACCTGAAGAAGAAGAGGGTTGAACAGACTCATCTCGACCACTATATCCGGTACGGGAAAGTCTGTAGCCGTGATAAGAAACCACCGTGAAGCAGTTCATGTCTCTCGGACACTGATCAGTATTTGAATGAGTATTGTGTATCTTAATAGTTTTCGGACGTTATCTGTATTTGAGAGACAATTTTATAATTTATATACGAGCTATTTCTTGATTGTTTCACACTTCATATTTCATAATTTGTTTCACACTTCATATTTCATAATTTTATTACTAGGTGGAGGTGACGTTATTGAGACTTTGGGCGGCCATAAACCTTGTGTTTTAAAAGTTGTCCTCTGAACTTGTTTCACTGACCCACGCTTTATAGCATTTATACATTTCGGCCCATTTTATATGTTTGTTCGATTTGCTGTACATTTGTATATTTGCAGTTTGCTATTTTGTAAAAGTTTCAAATCAAATCATCATCACACATGTTTACAAACTATCATCGCACTGTGTGAAAAAATATATAATAAATATTTCCCCACCAACATTAATTAATTATCAAATACAATATTTAAAAAACAATTTCATCAAAAACATTATCCTATTTTAAATAATAAAGTAATATCTGGTAATTTTTGACAAGATCAAGATATTTTAATTTTGTTTTGACGTATAGTATATGTATGATGTAATATATAAGCGCCATGAGTTGGCACAACATTTTTTGTTAAATTTTGTACCAAAAGTTGCCTCTATAAAAAGGTATTATTACTGTGAATAATGAAAATTCACTGTGTAGCACGATAACGTCGAGCTGTATTATATGCGGGCATTCTGTGCAAAGGACGAAGTATGGCTAATTTATTACTTAAAATGCCTATAACTCCTAAAATATTTGTTCAAAATTTGTTCAAAATTTCACACAAGGGGGGAGCCTTGTGTTCACATTAACAAATTTTAAAAATAAGCGAAGCAATAATGCTAGTTCGCGCGGCGCGTCGAAGCAGCGACATGACAAGCGAAGTCCTCCAACTCGATGAGCTTATTACGATATTATAATAATGAAGTGATAATAACTGAAAATGTGAGACATGAAAGTCATAGGCCAAAAACTTAAAAATTGCGCGAAAAAAGCACGCGCAGCAAACAAGCGCCGTGTAGCATTTTTAGCAAAATTGCTACACGGTGGATTTATTTTATTTACATTTTTAGACAACCTTTGGTACCAAATTTATCGAAATCGGAGAAAAAAAGTTCTGTGCTCGCTCGCGTATTTCATTGCATTGACATACGTTGCATGCCCGCCACTTCAAATAATAAAAATTGAAAATAATCTTGAGCTGAGCTTGGGGCCACAAAATGTGTCGAAGAATCACTTAATTCATAATTGCATTTATTCTAGGGCATTTAAAATTTAGAACCCTGCACCATAATAGTAAGAAACGCAAATTGAGGGGATTGTTGTAGGTTTACAACCTACCAGGACGCGCGCCGAGTTGGACTCGTCGACGGTCCAATATATGGAACAGATATTTTACGAGTATCACCCGTTAAGGGGATTGTTGACGGTATAATAATTTTTGGAACAAATATTTTACGAGTATCACCCGTTAAACATTGCACTACTGCTAGATATTCACTTATAACTGAGACATCTAGCTCTGTAATGAGACATCGAGGTGCAATTGCAAGTCAATAGTTTGTAGCGCGATGCACTACTGGGTCGCGCGCGCATCAAATAATGCTTCTCGCAACCACCTTCGGTAGATCGGCAACCACCTTCGGTAGATCGGCGAGATGCACCACTGTGCCTCACCGAGCTGCGAAGGATTGACATCGTGAATCAAGTCAATAGTTTGATTCACGATGTCAATCCTTCGCAGCTCGGTGAGGCACAGTGGTGCATCTCGCCCAGTTAAGTGCTTCGCGCTACAAGTCAATTAATAGTCAATTCATGGTTCCATCACAGCGATTCTCAAATTCCGATTTGCTATGTGCTCGGACCAGTCCTTATAGTTACATCTTCATGACCTGACAGTCATAATATAATACGTAACTATTATATGAACTACTGGTCGATAATTTATTTTTCATTCTTGAAAGCACAAATAATAAAACAAATAACAAAACAATAAAA